ACTCTCGTCCTATACCTAGCCCTGTAGACTTCAGACTAATTTTGGGTTCCGTACCTGAGTTCTAGAGCAACTACCAGTGCTCTATAGTTGTGTCTGTCGTCTCCTGACAACTGTCCAAGTATTTCCAGTGGTTGTCCCTTCAAGCTCGTTGCCAGATATACTGCTTTCTGCCCCTCTGTCCATCCATTCATTTCTGCCAGTAGCTCAAATTGTGCTCTATATGCTTCCCATCGAATTCCTGTGGCTTCACTTCTATTACTGATATTCATATCTGGGATGCGACTTCTAACAGGACTGAAGATGTCTGCATTAGGGTTTAGCTGTGGTGTCTGGAAGGGGCTTGCCATTGTCTGGGGCTGATTAAGTTGATGGTTAATGTATCCTCCTTGTGTAAAAGACAATAAATCATCTTTTAATGTATCTAATTTGCTTTTAAATTTACTAATGTTTTCCATTTGTACTGTTGTTGACTTTCCTGTAGTTGCTGCTGACTTTCTTCCTGTTTCCTTTCTTGTTCCAGTTGCCACTGCTGTAATCTCTCTTCTTGTTTCTTTTCTTTTCCTCCTACAACTGGTGTAATTCCTCTTCTTGTTTCTTTTCTTTTTCCTCCAGTAACTGCTGTAATTTATCTTCTTCTTCCTCCAACAACTGCTGTAATCTCTCTTCTTGTTTCTTTTGCTGTTCTTGCATTGCTGCCATCAAATCTGCTAAGCTGTAGTTTGATTTGTCGCTTCTCGTTTCCATTTTTTTCTTTTCCGTCCCACTCTCTGACACCAATTTGTTACGTCTCTGGTCGTTAGTTAATTTTCCGTATAATTTCTTTCTGAAGAAACTTTAACGATACAAGTCCTTTCTTAAATAAAACTGGTTTATTCTTTCTAAATACAACTTTGCAATACACTTAATTTCCACAGTCACGGTATAATTCACAACGAACGTATCACGTGCTCAACAATACGTCTCTCTCTGTCCGCAGTTCAATTACACATTATTGCCATCAATTCTTGGCGGCTTATATATACAATACTACCGCATATCTAGTAGCCTCTCTAGACTTCAGGAAGGGACGTGAACGTTCTAAAGTTCATGACGTGTTACTAGGGTCACGTGACTTCTGCTGTCGTAACAATACCTTATTTTTGTGTTTGTTACTGATCTGTACAATCGTAGACACTTTCGTTAGTGTTATGGCCGTTTTATTTATAATAAATTATTTGATAATAATTGATAACGACAATTAATAGTGTAAATAAACATGTAAGAAGATAAACTGTGTCAAGTTTTGCAGTTCACGCCACCCAATTACAGCGAGAAGATGATGAACAGCATCTGGGGGCTTTACAACAGATTTGCCTCTCATTCCTTCCAGAAAAACATAGAAGAAATAGTTTCCAACTTCGACTTGACTGCTGTCTCTCAAACAAAGTAAGTTTACCTCATTATAAACAGACACTAACAAAAAGTGTGCATTATATCTTCTTTTTGCATTAGTTAATATTTTGTATTCTCGTTGAAACTTTTACAAATTACAGGATTTTTTCCTTTGAAACAATATTATACTATTGCCCTTCTTATACGCCCACTCGAATCAACCATTTGAGTTTGATGACGAAAAACCAACTTTTCAGAAAATAAAATTTTTTACATCCAGTTGAGTATTTTCAAGAGGGGTATCTAGGTTTTGCTAACTTCTACGCCAGGATGACTGTGTTATCAGTTAGGTTTAATACACTAGGCCTGGCTTTTGGTAAGATGTACTGTATGATCAAAGCAGACCCAAAACGTTCTTGTAGAAGGCTTATATTTTTTTCTGTTTGGATGTAAAAGGATTCTCTTAACTCCTTAGATGTAGAAAACTGATCCTTTCTGCATAACACTAATCCAATTTGTTGTATGGTCTTCTTTGGTACGATGGACTATTGCTGACAGGTCAGTAGGAGGGAATATTTCACGTGTCTTGTACTCCTGAATTTAACTTAAGTTGATCTTTTTTTTTGTTTTGTTTCTTCAGTTTATCGGAGTCACATTCACAAAAGTTGTTGGAAGTTGTGTTTTTCTGTTCCTTGAATTTAAGTGTTTTGGTCTGCATTAACTTGATTGTTCTTTTTAAATCTAGTTTGAAGATTATTTTCATCTATACTATGTTCTAGATTAGTCTACATACCAAATAAAAAGAAACTGAAACCATGCTTCACATGTATGTTAAATTTAAGACTAACGATATTTTAAACAAACAATGTACCTCAGAGACTGGGATGTAATAGTAAAAAAGAAAAGTACTATTTTAATTCATAATTTTGCTAGTGTGGTAACTCAAACTTTGAGACTTGTATTCCCTTATTAACAAAAAAATTCAACTTTCTATTTTACAAATAATGCAAAAACAAAAAACTTAAAATCTTCATTTAACTTTTTCAAACCAATTTTTATTCCTCATTCCAAAAATACTAAGGTGATTATTCACCAATTTAAATGTTTAATGGAATCTATGTGAAAATGAATTAAAATAGAAGGTGACCACATATTGTTTTTAACTAAACTACGGGAAGTGTCTATTGTCCATACAATGATCTTTTAGTGATAAAAAGTAGTAGTTTTACAAATACATTGCAGGCTAATTGATTTATTTTACAAATTTCTTAAGCTTTCACGAGTAAACTTCCTTCTTTCAGCGGACTTCTGGTGAGAGACAGCTATAATTAGGTAAGTCAAGCTCGCACTCTCGTGTTTAACTACAACATCTAATCCCATCTCAACATCTAAGAAGTATATGTATTTATAAAATTCAATCACCAATGTATAATTCTCTAAAAAAAATCACTAGTTTTGCGTTTCACTGAGTATGTTAAGTTCCATTTTAACCGTATCTATTCAGAACTTAACTAACAAGGTTCAAATCCTGAATATCATTTAAAACCCTGACAAGGTCACGCAAAGATAATTACAAACTAGAAACTGAATAAATAAAGTTTCTTAACTTCATTATACAAATTTGATACTTATGTAAAATAAAACTGAATCAACATCTAGAGAGATTAACAAAACGTAAATAATGGGTCAGGTAAACTATCTTATATTTTTACTTCATAATGAGAGTTATATGAATTTGAAATAAAACTATTGTTCTTGTACATGTTAGGAGAGACAGACTAGCTTAAACATGTGTAAACATTTTGCAGGTTTCACTGAACTGAACACACTGCATGTGAACGTGAAACTAAGAAGTTTGGAATGTTTTGACGTGACACCTACATTCTCGGTGCTCAAAGATCTTCATTTTATAATTAACGTTTCAGGGATTTGGTTGTTTGCTATTTTTGTACTCTTTTGTATATATATATATTTATCTTCAAAATCTTAACCTCTTTATTTATATATAAAACAAAAACTTTGCTTAACAGAATTGGAAACACATTTGTATTGTCTACTTCAGAGGTCAGTAAGTAGAAGAAAAATGATTTCGTATCCTAATTAATAATATCTTTATACAATCAGTCCAACTGTATTATTCAGATTACACTCTTATTATAAATCAGTTTAAATATACTGTAACACAGTCAGTTTACACCAAACCCACACAGTCAGTTTAAATATACATTAATACAATCAGTTTACACCAAACTCATACAGTTTAAATATACATTAATACAATCAGTTTACACCAAACTCATA